ATGTTTATACTGTTAATCTGTTTTAATATATTGTTGCTCATTTATGATTTCTTGCTTTTGTTTGTTTTCTTGGAGACAGGGTCTCACTCTGTCACCCAGGCTGAAGTACAGTGGCATGATCATAGCTCACTGCAGCCTTGAACTCCTAGGCTCAAGCAATCCTTCAGACTCAGCCTCCAAAGTACGGAGGACTACAGGTGTATACCACCACCCCTGGCAATTTTTAAAATTTTTTTGGAGAGACAGTCTTGCTATGTTGCCCAGGCTGGTCTAGAATTCCCTGGCTCCAAGGGATCCTCCCCACCTCAGCCCCAAAAATCCCTAGGATTATAGGTGTTTATTAGGATACCAAGTCCCTCAGAACACATTTCTCAAAAAGAAAACATTTTTTCATTATGCAAATGACTCTCCAGGAACCCCATAGGAGACACTGGAAACTTCTTTGTATTATAAGGTTTCCTTTCAGCTTTCAATTCTAAATGGATTCTATTTTATAAAAAATGAATTGCTATCTCTTACTACTAACTGTTTATTAAAGAGTCAGATGGCTCCCTCCCTCTGCTATGTACTTTTAAGTCGTACTCTAGGTGCCTTTTCTTTCAAACTTTATTTTCATCTGGATCAAGATTGAAAGACCAAGGAGATACTGAAGGCAAATGGCTGAAATGATATAACATTGGTGTGATTTCAACACACTAGAGCCAGATGAGGGAAATATCAACGACAGGATGTACATACGAGGAAAAAGAGTTGAATAATAACAAGGAGTTATTTTTCCTTTATATAAAAAAAAGGAAATGGTAATGCAGAAATATAGGCATGAGTTTTTCTAAAACATGTAAAGGGAAAAGAAGAGATCAATATGAATTATGCGGAGTAGATTAATAGAATATATATTAAAAAAATATTATCAAACCTGATCATACAGTGCTAAAGGTCTTTTAGATGATATTAACTTCGGTGGATATCCATATTTTCTTGTTGGTGGTAAGGGTAGTAAAATATAAAAGAAAGATGTGATTGGTGGAGTCACAAAAATTGACTATTGTTCAGATTCCCTTGATTTTCGTCAGGGATTGTAATGTATGCATACTAATGCATGGCATACTCTATTATCAGTCGCAAAATAAGTCATTCTACATCTTTTCTACATCTGTGGTCCCCAACCCCCGGTGGCCTGTTAGGGACGGGGCTGGAGAGCTCTGCAGTCCTTTCTCTGCCCTCTCTCTTCCGTGGAAAAATTGTCTTCCATGAAATTTAGGAAACAGAGAGGAGGAGGGCAGAGGCACCACACAGCAGGAGGCGAGCAGCAGGCAAGCAAGTGAAAGAAACTTCATTGGTATTTACAGCTGCTCCCCATTGCTGGCATCACTGCCTGAGCTCTACCTAACCCTCCCCACCCCCCACCCCCATCTGTGGAAAGACTGCCTTCCTTGAAACTCGTCCCTGGTGCCAAAAAGGCTGGGTTCCGTTTTGTTTTAAATGTTTGTTTTCCACTGCTTTCATGCAGTAGACAACAAAACTGCCATGGAGAAAAATGTATATGTCAATATTTATGAGAGGCAAGAATATTTCATTTATTACTTGTAGGAGGTAGCTCTTTTAGAGATATCAAGGTCACTTATTAATTCTGTCATATATGAGTCAAAAATATGGTCACTAATTATTCAAATCTATGGTCAATATGCCATGTGTATATTGTGAAAACAATTCTGATTTTTAAAAATATTAATTAAAAAATACATATACAACAAAATCTGCCTTGCCTAACATTCATCCTTCTGGGAATATGCCCCATCTTTCCAGCACCCAAGCTCAAAACCTCAGTCACCTAATTGGTGTATAATCCTCGGTAAGTCTGAGTCTTATTTTTTGTATCTATAAAATAATTCCATCTCTAAATATAATGGTTCTATAACTTTTTATGATTCTTTTCTCACTACCGTCCTCCTCCCCATCTTCAATATAGCCCATCAGCTACTAAACAGTACTTATTCCAACTCCTCACATCACTCACATCTGTCCTCTTCTTTCCATTCCCATTGCCACCACAGATCAGGTCCTCATTACATAAGAGAAAAATCTACAAAGGTATCAATATAGTCAATTGGATACAGCAAGTGCTTCTTAGTGATAAATAATATTAGATTAATCTAACAGAGTTTTATTTAGATTTCCCACATACAAAACCACTCCTATCCAAATATCCAACCCACTACCACCAATGTATTTTTTTAAATGAGATTATGATCAAATTAGTTCTTTTCATAATTTTTCTATAGCGTTCTACCTCTTAACTAATGAAAACTAACTCTTCAAAGGGATTTCAAGGCCCTTTTCCACATGGTCTCAACTTACTTTCCAGGCCATGAATTCTCACAGCCTCCCTTCTTGTACCCTATTTAGAATTCCCAAAGCTTTGTGCTGTTTCCTTTTGCCAAGAGAATCATTCTCACTACCTTAAATGTGTACTTGAAAATCCTAGCATTATGGTGAGACTAGGGTGAGGCATGACTCTGAAAGTGAGTATGTTCTTAAATTTTGTGCTCTAGGCAATTAACTTGCCTCACTCTAATTCTAGTTCTGAAGATCATCTAAAGAAGTTAGATGAAGTCTGCTCTAATTCCTCTCAGTAAATCATAATTTCTATAAATCTTTTAAGCCCTCAAAGAATTTTATATCTCTTTTATGGCTTTGCATTCATTTAACAAATTCAACAAATATTTATCAGGCACCTTCTATGTGTTAAGGTACTGATTAGGGAGTTGGATATAGAGCAGTGAACAAAACAGATAAAAACCCAGGCTTCCTAGAGTTTAGTTCTAGTGGGTTAAAGTATTTTGTAAATATATCTGCTTCTGTTAGCATATCAAGCTTGCTGCTGCAAAAATCTGATTAATCTTTCTTTATCTGCATGTGATCCCTGCTCAATCAATATTTAGTGAATTCAGTTAAAAAAAAAACTCTCATGCCTTTTACAAATATTTTAATTTATGAATTATAACTACACACAAATATAATTGCTATGCATTTGATCTTTAAACTTACCTGCTAATATCATTGTTGCTTAGGTCAAGCCTTTCCAAAGACTGCAGTAGTGTAATTTCATCTGGAACAGACTTTAACTTGTTATCCCTCAGGTCTAGCACAAGGATAGAATTCAGATGCTTAAGATGTTCTGCCCTTAACATTTCAATCTGGTTTTCACCTACATGCAATTCCTATAAAACCAAAGATTGGTTATGTGTATTTCTGTATTCAATTTTATACTAAATAATGAACATAAAATTGTGGGTACTCTTAATTGCAAATTATTGAAAAACCCATAGAAAAGATACAACTTTCTAAGCACCAAGGTGTTTAAATTGTCAATTATATTTACGCTATCTTACAACTAAAGGAAAATAGCAAGAGAGAAAACTTTCAAGAATTTTCTGGCAATTTAAAAATAATTAAAGGTTGAATCTGGCAGAAATATCAAGTTTACAAAACCAAAGCAGAGAAATGATTTAATAATTACATTTATGGAATAAAAATACAAATCCAAAACTATATTGATGAAAAATTAGTTTCCAAACAAAGCTATATCAGTATGTATATATTATATATCAACTGTATATATTGTGTGGATATATTATATATCAACTGTATATATTATACAGTTGACCCTTGAGCAACAGGGTTTGAACTGTGAGGGCCCTCTTATACGCAAATTATTTTCAATAAATATACTGAAAAATTTGGGGGAGGTTTGTGACAATTTGAAAAACTCTCAGATGAACCATATAACCTAAAAATAATGAAAAAATTCAGAAAAAGTTAAGTATGTCATATATGCACATATGTAGATACTAGTCTATTTTATCATTTACTAGCATAAAATCACACAAATTTATTTTTAAAAGTTAAACTTTATCAAAACTTACACACACATTTATAGACCATATGTCATACCACTCAGTCAAAAGAAATATAAACAAGGGGGAGGGGGGAGGAAGGCGGGTATATACATACATAATTAGTGAGATGTGCACCATCTGAGGGATGGTCATGCTGGAAACTTAGACTTGTGTGGGGGGGGAAGGGCATTTATTGAAACCTTAAAATCTGTACCCCCATAATATGCCAAAATAAAAAAAAAGAAATATAAACAAACATAAAGATGCAGTATTAAGTCCTAACTGCATAAAATTAACTGTAGTACATACTGTACTACTGTAATAATTTGGTAGCCACCTCCTTTGGCTATAGCAGTGAGCTCAAGCATTGTGAGTATTCACTTAAAACACTGTGTGATAGTAATGATCTTCATGTGAGTACTTCACTTCTTCTTCAGTATGTTGTGTATCACAGTGAAAAGTCTCTCATGTATTTTTTCGTGGTTCTCATGTATTTTTTGTCATGTTTACTGCAATACTGTAAACCTTGAATAACATCAAGGCACCCATACAAGATGCTGAAAGTCTCCTAAGAAGGAGAGAAAAGTCATAACATTGCTTGAAACATACCAAAGAATGAAGTCTATAGCTGAGGTTGCCTACCATTTCAGAAAGACAATTAATCTTGTAAACAGATGACATAAACTTATGTATTGATAAATATAGTACTGTAAATGTATTTTCTCTCCTCATGATTTTCTTAATAACATTTTTTTCTCCAGACTAATTTATTGTAAGAATACATATTATACATATAACACACAAAATATGTGTTAATTGACTGATCATGTTATCAATAAGGTTTCAGGTCAACAGTAGGCTATTAGTAGTTCAGTTTTGAGGAATCAAAAGTTATATGTGGATTTTCAACCGCAAAGGCGGTCAGTGTCCAAAACCTCCACATTGTTTAAAGATCAACTGTAATCAGTTTGTTATTTAACATTTTCATTAGTGATTATACTATAATCATATATTGATTTCCCATTAAGAGAATCTACAACTATCAGATGGAAAATTAGTCAATCTTATTAAAGAAAAACTTTTCAGTTCTTACTATCACTGTCACCATTCTGCTTAAAAGAAACTCTTTTAACACTGATGCATAAAGGTATATACAAAGGAAAGCAAAGCATGTCAAATTTAGAAGACAATGCTACATACTTAAAGCCAAAAGAAAATAAATCAATTTTAAACAGACTTGATTATGATCAGCTAAATGTGAGAAGTGGTAACTTATAGAATTAGGTACATATTCCCATACTCCTTCCTACAGTAAGGCTCCAACTTACCATTTTATCCTTACCATTTTATCCTTATCTATTAATACTACTCTCTAGTTATAAACTACTCACTGGATGAATGGACAAATCTCTATTTTTTTAATTATTTCTTTCAAAAAAATGTATTACTAAAAATCCATTAATGTCAGTAGTGTTATTAAAATTCTACAAAATATTAACATAGGGAAAACATAGTACTTATAACTTTTAATACATATTCCCAATGTAAAACAAGATTAGCTCCTTTTTAAAAATTCATTTACATAATTTCCTTTTGGAAAATATATGGTTATTTAATAATCAACTAAATAGTACCTTCAAAAGTCTACAAGAAGGAAATTCTGGTAGAAAACGTAATTTATTCCTCCACAAATAAAGCAATTCTAGTGATTCCATGCCAGCCAATTCAGGAGGTATAGTTTCCAAGAGATTTGAATTACAATCCAAATGCTTTAATCCTGTAATATATATTCAGTGAAAAACGAAAATGCTTTAATAGAGAAAAAAATATTAGTTTCTGATTGCATACATCTTCAAAAAATGTGTAAGAAATCACCACAAGGACTTATGAATCTGTGCCATTGTATACCACTACAATAATGCAGAATACTCAAATATCAATGAACAAAATAAATGTAAATTTATTTTTTACATTTAATTACAATTAAAAAGAAATATTAAAATTAATATTTAATAATAGTCCAGGTCATCTCTGTAATAGATTTTAAAAACAAAGATCTCTAATACTCCACTAAAGTAGTCTAAAATAAAATGTACACTATTATTATTTCCCTCATTTATTATGCATCCTTAAAAAGAAAAAGCTTAATGTAATTAAAGATATATAAATGTGGAAGCATACTGACTGCATAAATGGACGTGAAGAAACTCTGACTAGTACTGCCTTAGACACATCTGTATTTTAGGCAAGTTGATTTTTCATCAAAAAGCCTTGGATTTCTGTATGCATTTCTTCTATCCAACTATACTGCTGCTTTCTCTCTTTCCCTGTCTCCTTTTTTCCTTTTTATGTTTTAAAAATTACATGCTTTATCTAATACCTAACACTCCTACCAACAATTTATACTACACCTTTAGAAGAAGGTCCTTATGTGCAGCATCTCTCTTATGTCCTAGATCTATCTTTCTTAAAAAGCAAAGTAGAAAACAAAACTGGGGAAAAGTAAGTAAGTCTTCCTTCCCTTAAGACTTCAATGAGTAGTTTTTCTCCCTAATCCATATTACAAATTCTTCCATTTATCATAGCCACTGTATATTATTCACAACTCATTTTCAACCCTCTAATTTGAATAGTCAATATGCATTTTACAACTTATTTTCCTATACTTTGAGCCTGTCAAATTTAAAATAATTCATGACTTGGTAGATACACTACCTTAGGTTGTTTTTCTTTTGCTATATGAAAAAGCTAACTGCTTTTCAAAACAAACGCGGTACTACTTACAACTAATAATATAATAATTTATATATTATTTGACTAGAGTATTGAGGGAAAAAGTCACAATCTGATCTACCAAATATAGTAAATTCTGTATTAAAAAAAATTGTTTTACAGTTAGAGATCATGATTTTTCACAAATGTTTGCATTTAAGAGCACTGACTGAGAACATATCAGTAAGTAGTGGAAAGAGCAATGGGGATGGAGTCAGGATTCAAGCTCTAGCTCTACAATTTACAGTATAATTTCTAAGCCTGTGTTTATTTTTCTAAAAAAAGATTGACAATCTGGGAACTCAGGCAAAACAAGACCATTTCTGGACTTTACTACTTATGGACCAAGAAGACACTACAGCTGTAATATAATCATTATATCATAGGTGGATTCACCTGGTGAGAGGGGAACAGCCTCTTGATGAATGAATGAAGAGAGAGTATGGCTCAAAACCTTAATCAGTTTCTCAGGCATGTAATTTTAAGAATATAATTATATTTTATTTTCTTCTTTTGATATGTCTAAGTATCTTTATAAAGCTAACTTTTTTAGGCAGTTACTAGACAATAATGGTCTGGAGAAAATCTGACTAGTTGCGATTGTTTGCACTTACCACCATAAAAATCTATCACTTTATTTCTCTGTAAGTATATTAAAAATTATTTTTCTCAATGCAAGTTGCACCAACTTCAAAATCATGTATTTTTTAAAATAGAAAAGATTTACTTTTCATTCTACTTATTTCTGCTGGCAAATTCTTCAGCTGATTACTGGAAAGATTGAGTCGCACCAGACTGGATAGAGAAGAAAAACTAGCAGGAACAGTTCTAAGACGATTATTCGAAAGATCCTTTAAAAAGAGACAGAAATAATGAATGAGTATATAAAAAAATAAATGATCCCTAAAGGGGATTTCAAAATTTTTTAATTTTTTTTAGAGACTGTGTCTTGCCTAGGCTGGTTTCAGACTCCTGTGCTCAAGCAATCCTCCCACCTCAGCCTCCCAAATAGCTGGGACTACAGGTGCACACCACCACGCTTAACTTCTAGGATTTCAAAGTTTTGAAGGAATTGCAACAAATAAGAAACTATTTCAGAGGTGTTAAGCACCAAAACTCTCTTTCACTGACAATTTCACAAATCATCACTCATTCCAAAAACTCTTTTTCAACATCTGCAGGTCCACAATGTGCCCATCAATGAAGTACACAGGAATTAGAATGAATTCTGACCTCAAAAATATCTCACATAAAGGTTTCTGTTAAAACTAAGTCATGCTATATCATGCATGATGTTTTCGATGCATAAATCCATTCATCCAATATTTATTGAGTACCTATGATGAATTAGACACATTATTGATAAACTTTATATGAAATGAAAACATCTTTTGCAAGAAAGAAAAATTCCTGAAAGAAAGAGAACTAAAGCTGACAAATGGCCCTTTAAATTTTTGAGGAAAAAAATGTTTTCTCTTAGTTCTTTAGCTGACCTCAGCTAGTCTGCTTTAACTAAGACCAAACAGAAGTCTACTCTTTATTTTTCACTCACTTTCAAGTTTGGTTAATTAATCTCTATACTGAATGTTTCTTTAAATCATTATGTTTGTTTTGTCTTTAAGCAGTTATATGAGAACTTTTCTTTGAATCTCCCTTCAAAAACATTGTTATGCCGGGCGTGGTGGCTCACGCTTGTAATCCTAGCACTCTGGGAGGCCGAGGCGGGCGGATTGCTCAAGGTCAGGAGTTCAAAACTAGCCTGAGCGAGACCCTGTCTCTACTATAAAAATAGAAAGAAATTAATTGGCCAACTAATATATATATAAAATTAGCCGGGCATGGTGGCGCGTGCCTGTAGTCCCAGCTACTCGGGAGGCTGAGGCAGGAGGATTGCTGAGCCAGGAATTTGAGGTTGCTGTGAGCTAGGTGACGCCACGGCACTCACTCTAGCCTGGGCAACAAAGCAAGACTCTGTCTCAAAAAAAAAAAAAAAAAAAAAAAAAAAACATTGTTATGAGTCAGGTAATGTTTATAAAACTCAAACAGTTGTAACACTCAAATTAGGTGTATAGTGCTCCACTAGCTATTAGCAAAGAAAGTAGGGCCAATGGCAACAATGAATTATTATAGAAAAAATAACTTAAAGGAACTGTTCTCTAATACTTTCATTTAGTGTACCTTTAAACAACTGCATTTTGTGACTCTGAATAAACTGAGAAGATAGAAAAATGTAAAAATACTGGATCAGCTCATTTTTAAAAAAATATACTGTTATGATTATCATAACATAGTATTATTATAATGTACAACAGGGATCGCCAATTTATGGTGAGTTGTATAATTATTTCGTTATATATTACAATGTAATAATAATAGAAACAAAGTGTACAATAAATGTAATGTGCTTGAATCATCCTGAAGCCATCTCCCATCCCTACCCCTGGTTCCATAGAAAAATTGTCTTCCATGAAAATGGTCCCTGAGTATTGCTGATTTACAACATATGACATAACATAATCTACAACTCTAATACTAGAAACTGTAATAATGAAGAGACTGCTAATAAATATTTTGCAATATCAGAAGTTACTGACACTAAATGCAATTTGGTATTCTGGATTAGATTCTGGAACCAAAAAAACTACGTCAGTGGAAAAACTGTGGAAATCTGAAAAAAATACGTAGTTTAATTAGTATTGTACCAATGTGAATTTCTGAGTTTTTACAAATGTCCCATGGTATAACATATAAAATGTTAACATTACTGGAAGCAAGGTGAAGGGGACAAGAGAACTCTTTTGCTGTATTTATAACTTTTCTATTAATCTAAATTTTTGCAAAGTAAAAATTTACAATAAAAAGTTGCTAACAAAATTCAGAAATCTCAAAACATTTTTAGAAATACAAATCATTCTAATAAACCCCCTCTAAATTCTAGACAGAATTACTAATAAAAAGTTAAATATTTATTGTGGCTAATAAAGTTTGGTATAAAACGTAAGTATTCTGTATATATATTAATCTATATTTATGCCAAGTCATTCCTTTAAATATTCCTACAAATATTTATATAGTACCATTATGCTAAGCAGTTTTTATATAACTTAAGAAATATTACTAACCAATGATTACAGTGTTTCTACTGTTAATCTGTTTTAATATATTGTTGCTCATTTATGATTTCTTGCTTTTGTTTGTTTTCTTGGAGACAGGGTCTCACTCTGTCACCCAGGCTGAAGTACAGTGGCATGATCATAGCTCACTGCAGCCTTGAACTCCTAGGCTCAAGCAATCCTTCAGACTCAGCCTCCAAAGTACGGAGGACTACAGGTGTATACCACCACCCCTGGCAATTTTTAAAATTTTTTTGGAGAGACAGTCTTGCTATGTTGCCCAGGCTGGTCTAGAATTCCTGGCCTCAAGGGATCCTCCCACCTCAGCCCCCCAAAATCCCTAGGATTATAGGTGATTTATTAGATACCAAGTCCTCAGAACACATTTCTCAAAAGAAACATTTTTTCATTATGCAAATGACTCTCCAGGAACCCATAAGGGAGACACTGGAAACTTCTTTTATTATAAGGTTTCCTTTCAGCTTTCAATTCTAAATGGATTCTATTTTATAAAAAAGAATTGCTATCTCTTACTACTAACTTTATTAAAGAGTCAGATGGCTCCCTCCTCTGCTATTTATTTTATCTATCTATGCCTTTTACTTTCCAAACTTTATTTTCAATCTGATCAGATTGAAAGACAAGGAGATACTGAAGGAATGGCTGAAATGAGTATATATTTTGATTTCAAACACTAGAGCAGATGAGGGAAATATCAAGAAGGATGTACATACAGAAAAAATTGAAATAAAAGGAGTTAATTTTTCCTTTAATAAAAAAAAATGTAATGCAGAAATAGCATGAGTTTTCTAAAACATGTAAAAGGGAAAAGAAGAATACAATATGAATTATGTGGAGTAGATATTATATATTAGTATTTCTGATCTAATACAGCTAAGGTCTTTTAGATGATATAACTTACGGTGGAATCATATTTCTTTGGTGGTAAGGTAGAAAAAAAAGAGATGTGATTTGGAGTCAAAATGACATGTTCAAATCCTGATTTCGCAGGATTAATTATGCAACTAGCCATGCAACTTATTAATCATGCAACTAGTCATGCATGACTTTTGACAAATTTCGTTTTTTATATAAGCCTTCGTTTCTTATTTGGGATATAATTACATATTTTTTAATAAGCCTTCCTTATCATTTATACAATTGTGCAATACAAGATACAATATTTCTTATCAAGGAAATCTTACAAGAAGATATTGTATCCCCAATACAATAAGGGAATAAAACCACCACTTTGCCACATGTAAAGCACAAAGCAAAGTGCCTATTGTTTTTTTTATTATTATTTATTTATTTATTTTTTACTTAGAGACAGATCTCATTGTCTTCAGGCTGGAATTCAGTGGCATGATTATGGCTTACTGTAACCTCAAACTGTTGGTCTCAAATGATTCTCCCACCACAGCCTCCCAGTAGGATGATAGGCATGCACCACCATACCCTGCTTTATTTTTAATAATATGATAAAATAATATTTGTATTGTTTTATGACCATCTCTATTTAAGATAAGTGAAACAGATGGAATAAAAAGTTTTCTAGGGTATGTGGCTATTAATAGGGAAAAGGCAGGCCTTGAAGGCATTAATATTATCTGAACACTCAGAGGGCAAGAGGGCCATTGATAATATAAAGGAGGAAACGAGAATGAGTATAGAAAACATAATAAAGACAACTCTCCTCTATTTCTGCTAAGCTGTAAAAAACCTCTGAATAACAAGGTCATTCTCATCGCACCTTTCTCAAACTGTTCCTTAATTAAAACTTAAAGTTGCTTTCATAATATAATCAAAACAAATTTACAATTACTATTTTAGCAATCTAATTGAAATGCAGTTTCTGATAATTGACTCAAAATCATCTGTCCATGTTCCCCACAATTTCAACCATATATACAAATTTCTCAGCCTGATGAAAAACTCCACCAGCCCCAAATTATACAAATATTGGAAAATAACAACTTACTAAATCTTCTAAATTGGAAAGTTGTTCAAATCCCTCTGATATGCAAGTTAGTTCATTATGCTGGAGATACAGCCCCTTCAGATTTCTTAGGTTTGCAATTTCTTCAGGGAGTGTTTTCAGTTTGTTATGGCTATTGATTGATAAAATAAATGCCGAATAATTTAGTGACAACACAAAAAAATACTTATCAAAGGCATTTTTGCTAACCAACTACATGGGCTCATTACAAAAATGAAATATGGTTACTAACTTAAGTTCCTATCAAAATTCACACCCTAAAAATTTACACTCATTAAAATAATAGCAATAGAAAGTAACCAAATTGGGGGTTCAAAGGAAAACAACAAAGAAATAAAGGTTTTAAGCCAAACATGAATAATTTGTAAACTTTTGAATACCTGCTTATGATGAAGTCATAGTTTTACATGTAATTTCCCATGTAATTACATGTAATGGGAAATGACATACAGAACTCAATTTTTTATACTGTATCTGACATTTAGAATTTTGGCAAAATATGTACAAACACACACACACCATAATGGAGTTACATGGAAATTAGGTTTTAAACCTCACATTCAAGGCAAAAACAACTAGTTGTTTTTGAGGGTCTGGTATTTCAAGTTGAATGTAATATATAATTCCACTCTTCCTTGTGCTTGTTCTTAACTTTTCAGTTTAGTCCCTCTGTACAGATATTCAGCTTAATGATTTAGGAGAAGTCCCAAATCACTGGGGATGATATACTCTCTGATAATTAAGAGATGACTGAACTAGTTCCTAGTTTTATCACAATTTAGCTACTCATTTATGAATTCCACTCTATTTTCATGCCACATACAGTTACTTCACAAATAACAGAGAAGAAATGAGAAATATAAGGGGCTTGCAATAACACTAAATTACATTAGAATAAAACTAGTTGGTACAAAAAAGCCAAAAGTTTTCTTCTAAAATAAGAACCAATAAATCTGTTAAAAGTAATATATTACTGTTGGTTACTTAGCTGAAATCTTTGCATATTTGATAGGGATCTAGTTGGACAGAGATGTAATTCTAGCTATGTATTTCCTCCTTCTCTTTTTCTTACCTAATTACTCCATTCTAAGATTCATACTCTTAAGTTTTGGGATCTAAAGCTAAAGCTACATCCACTCTATTTACTCCCTCTTCTCTTCCTCTCAACTCTCCTTACTCTTATTCCTTTGACTTGTAAGGGCTGAAGAGGTATTAATATAGTTCTAAACAGTTAGTACCTTTTTATGTGTAGATATTTTTACTGATTTTATGGTAAATTTTACATTTTTCCCCAAATGAGAACTGTTATTTGAAGGACTATGTTTCCTCTAAATATTCAGCTTACCTCCAGAAAATGGATTTCACTATGTTAAACAGTACCATATCTATTTTATAAGCCACAATTTTTCAGACTATGTTGTAAGTACTTAAACTGTTTCTTTTCTCAAATGATATTTCCCTTGATCTCCTTTCCCATATTCTGTGTCTATATAACACAGAAAAGGCAAAGTTATTTTTTCTTAAAAGTCTGGATATGTATTAGAGGGCAGAGGTAGCTAGAGCCTTAGCTGCCTAACATCCCATGTACCTATCCATGAGAGTACTAGAAACATATCCGTAGAATCCCAGGAGTCCTTGGAAAAGTTTAAAAACTACTACTAATAAAAGCCATGACATTTTTCATCATTAATGGAAAAATAGTTTTATATTTCTCTCTTACGTTTAATACCTAGATACTTTTTAGACTATATCAAGCTAACTTAAAAGTTTAGATAAAAGCAAAGGGGTTTACTAAAATAACCACCATTAAAAAGTTGCTTCATAAAAATAATACAAAAGCATTTTTTAAAAATCAACTGGCCTTAAATTCAGAAAACCAGAAAACATGTAGGCAATTCTAAAACCAAATATACAGACAAAATTAAAAACTTAAACTTTTTATTCTGCTTAACTACTTTCTAAGATAATATGAAGATATTTTCTAATGTTACCAAAAAACTGAAAGAATATTAGATTTACACCATTATAATAGCAATATTAGAAATACATAAGCTTAAATTTTACCTGACATTAAGTTTCTGAAGATTTTCTAGCTCTCCTATAGCAGAAGGAAGGGATGTCAGCTGATTGTCATGTATCTAGAAGTTAGCAAAAGATAAAGTTAATATTCTTAGTCTTACAATTAACAATATACAAACTTGGCCATTGTACAAAATTATTCACCAATAATCCCATTCTTTTAATTCAATGGCAATGAGTTGGCGATTGGTAATTTGTACTGTGTGTAGAAGATTTTGAAATTGTCCAAACTGTTCAGAAATTATGAAGTGTTAAGTCATCAATTTTAAATGTTACAGTTAAAAAAATTTTTACCTCATTGAGTGGAGTTTCAATTTCAAATAAGAGATGAAAGAGTAAGAAACTAACAACAGGCCTCTAATAGTATGATTTATATCAACATATAACAAATTATATGAGAACGGAGAAAGACTTTTCTTGTTCTTACAGAATCATATTGTTTTTAAGGTAGAAAGAAACTTAGAGTAGGCCAATCCCTTCATTTACAAATGAAGAAAATGAAGAGTTTTCTAAAAATTTAGATCCTACTTTTCTATATAAAAATTGGAGGATTTTTGAGGTTAGTAAGTAAAGTATACCAGAAGTCTGTAGATTCTGAAATATACTACTCATGCTTCACTTTACCACATGACATGGTAACTAGAGACTAAAATAAGTCCCTGAATAAAAACACAAAAATTTAATTTCAGTAATTTAACTCAATGAGGTTGAAGGCAAACTATAAAAACAAACAAAAAAATCTATCCTAAGTACTTGCTTTAATGTCTAGAATAATAATTATCAAAATAAGAAAAAAATGAGCAGAAGCAACCACTTATTAAATACTGTTTGTATTAACTCATTTAATTCTACAAACATTTTTTAAAAGTAGGTAGTAGTATCAGTCCTGGTTTATAGATACAGAGAATAAGACACAGAGAGGTAACTTTGCCAAGGTCGCACAGCTATTAAGTGGCAGGGTCACAATTAAAAACTTGGTGTTCTGACTATGCATTCTTAACCATTATGCTATGCCTAACATAATAATTTCTACTAACTCAACATGAAAGGTTTTCTGCTTACCAAAACCTAAATTTAGCTTGGGAATCCCTTCAACTAATAACCCATATTTATAGTCAGTCAACTTACATCAAGTACAGTCAGTGCAGGCAGGAGTCGAAGGTCATCTGTAAGTGACTGAAGTTTATTGTTTGAGATGATTAGTTTGGTCAAATCCGTCTGCTCCCACCATCGTTCAGTAGCACTGAATGAAAGATTCTGATTAGCTTCCTCGGGGAGATCTACATTTATTCTCCAGACACACTGAGGCACTATTTCCACCACCACAACATCACAAAAAAAAAAAAAAAAAGAGAAAGAAAAAATGAAAACAAGAAATAAATACTAAGTAGCATACTTTCGTAATAGCTATTCAGTTTATATATTGAAAACAATTTCTGAAACAAATTTCAAATAAGTCAAAGAGCAATAAATTATAACTATAGTGAAAGTTGATTTTAGTCAAAAATAGACTATGTAATATATATTTTACATATTAACTCTTACTTTATTAAACTTCAACTTCATTCAACTTTTCTACTAGGTATATATACTGCACAGCACATATATAAGACAAATAAAGAAGGGACCCTACCCTACCTATGCTAACAGACTAACAGAGAAGGCATGGAAATCAACATCTATGTGTAATGTTAAAAATTTTATAACAGAAGGATATACTAAGGCTCAGAAAGGGTTTGTATACTTCTAACACCCTATTTCATTTGAACCTCGTGACAAATGTCAGGTAGGTGCTATTACTATTTCCATCTTATGGATGAGAAAAATGGGGCATAAAGAGAAGGTATAATTTGCCCAGGGCTACACAGCTAGTTAAGTACTAGGGATGTAATTCAAACCTTGGCAGAGCTATACTGTTTTGCTATCCATTTATATTTGAGAGAAATATCTGACTCAGGTGGCTACTCTCTACTTTACCTGACATGCAGTTTTATTTCTTACCCCACCATACAACATCATGTTATTCTATTGCAGCAAATGAAACTTGTGTAATACAGCAAATAAGACAGTACAAGTTGAACAGGGAGAGTCCACACTGTCACCACAAAACTTGAAGGTACAAAAGGTTGCTTGCTATAGAACCGTAGCACAACTATTTTAAATAATTGTTCCTTCCTTGCAAAAATTAGGACTATATATAGGGATGATGTAGAACTTTGAGCTCTACATCAAGGCAATCACTGGTTATGCCCTGCTGTCACTATCATTTCAAAACCACCAAAGATTAAATGGAAAGGTGTAGTCAAAAGATGCAAATACAAGACACTGAACAGGAATTCTGAATGATTTATCTCATACAGTGATGTTACAGAAACAAAGCGAAGCCCCTGAAAGCCATGAGACTTATACTCACTTAAAAAATTAGCTACCTATATTCATATTAGAATAAATTATAAGATCCCTCTCCTACCCCATATTTCTGATTAGGTATTCTCTGCTTCTCTACTACTCTACCACTGAATCTTCAGCAAATGAGACTAACACAGAAAATGAATCCACCTGCGTTTCTGTTTGTAGATCAAGGTTTATTTTTAAAGTGAAGCAAAACAAAATAATTTCCCAAATGATTTGAAAGCCAAAGCACCATTAAATTTATCATTATTATTTTGGTGTGTAGGTATGGATAGTTGAGTGGGAATGAGAAACATAGATCAGCCAGAAATTGGCATGTGAATTTACTGACATGAAATTTGCACACAACACAATAAAAATACATGTTACCCATCAACTACTCTAAATGAATGTTAATATTTTACCATTATTATTTCAGATATTTTTGTTACCAAACTTTGTCTTTTTGGAAACTATCTAGACATGGATAATTGTTAAGATTATATTGTTATTGAACATTTATCAATTTGCCTTTCTATGAACTATGAGTTTCTACTCATTCTTTTTCCCATTAATCATCTGTGAGGTATCCCAATTTCTTCCAGAACTTATAGCATCAAGATTCATGTCACTATCATACCCCCTCATATGAAGAACCACTAAAAGGTATACATATAGTCCTAATTACTGAGGAATTCTGTGGAGCTATCCTAAAAGTAGTTTAGCAATGGATGAAATAGAAACTACAAGGTAAAAATGAATGTCAATAGCATATAAATGAGAAAAAAATTACTATGGAGTTGGGCATTATGTAAAATTTCAAACATACACATAAGTTTAAAGAAGAGTATGATGAAATAAAACTCCATGTACCCATCACCCAGCTTTAAATAGCAGCTTTTAACTGATAATTAACACCTTTTAATTTTCCTCCATTTTAAACACTCAATAACATTCCTACCTATTGTTCTGCCATGATCATGCAACAATGATTGTCCAGAAAGCAACAATGAATAACTCCTTTATAACTCCAATTTCATTTTCTCTAGTCCAGTGAAAAAGAGCTGCAATATTTACATAGAACCACACTAACAATATATGCTCATAAAAAGAGCTGTCACTTAAAATTTCCAGAATATTTACAACATTCTTCTTTGAAGTTGGTTATTAACAATTATTTTGGCCAGGCACGGTGGCTCACGCCTGTAATCCTAGCACTCTGGAAGGCTGAGGTGGGCGGATCATTTGAGCTCAGGAGTTCGAGACCAGCCTGAGCAAGAGTGAGACTCCGTCTCTACCAAAAAATAGAAAAAATTAGCCGGGCATGGTGGCACAAGCCTGTAGTCCCAGCTACAGGAGGCTGGAGGCTGAGGCAGAAGGATTGCTTGAGCCCAGGAGTTTGCGGTTGCTGTGAGTTAGGCTGACGTCATGGCACTCTAGCCCAGACAACACAGTGAGACTCTGTCTCAAAACAAACAAACAAAATTATTTCTCTTTGAGAATATCTTTCTAAATAAGTTATAGAAGTGACACTCAGAATGACTTAAAATTGCCAACAATATTTAAATGTTTAAATACTAATATATATTAGAGTAGTCCTAAGATGGACTATTATGGAGCCATTAAAAATAATCAAATTTTTCAAGTGACATTAAAAAACATACAAATATAAGTCAGAAAACCAATTTTAAATTTGTTAATATAAAAAACAGAAGTCAAATTATACGTACCTAGTCACACACACAAAGAAACTACTGTATTAGAAGAAAAACCTCCAAAACATTAACAGAGATTAATGCTGACTACATTTTCATTTTTATACTTTTCTATATAGATTCTAATCTTTCTGCAATAGACATGTTTTATATTTATGATTTTATAAACAGGAATACAAAAATAGTGTATTCCTAAAAGAACTAGAGCCCACATAAATAAAGTACAGTTGACCCTTGCACAACATGGGTTTGAATTGCATGGGTCGACCTATATGCAGATTTTCTTCCACCTGTCATCCCTCAGACAGCAGGACCAATCCCTCCTCTTCTTCGTCAGCCTACTCAAAGTGAAGACGATGAGGATGAAGACCTTTATGATAATTCCTTCCATTTAATGAACAGTAAAAATATTTTCTCTTCATTACAATTTTCTTAGTAACATTTTTTTCTCTAGCTTCCTATTGTAAGAATACAGCATATAATACATATAACATACAAAATATGTGCTAATTGACTATTTCTTTTATTGGTAAGGCTTCCTTCAAGAGTAGGCTATTAGTAATTAAGTTTGGGGGGAGTCAAAAGTTATGTGGATTTTCAACTGTGCAAGCAGGGGATCACAAATCCTCATGTTGCTCAAGGATCAACTGTATATCTAAATACCCTAAAGAATAACTAGATTTCAGTTAGGGGTAAAAGTTAATGCCCTCAAGAGTTACTATCCCTAATAGGTTTACCTGTTTGCCCTCTATTACTGATGAACCGGACTGCATACCAGTTAACAACTCTACCAAGTTAATAAAATCTCTCACTGCCCTTGTAGAGCTTCCATTAAGAAAAAATCAATTCAAGGCCACCACCTAAGAATCAAAAGATTTTAACTGCTTTTCATTATATACATCAAAATTAAAGGCTGTTTTGTTCATCGAACATAGAAACAATGGGCATGATTGTACTTTACAAATATATTACTAATATGACCATGTAAATATGAAGGGGGAGAGAAAGAATTGGAGTATAATATGAACATTTAAATTATCTGTTTAACAAGTACAATTCTTAATAATAAATAAAACTTAAAATGTTAAATTAAAACTTAAAATGTTAAAATGTTTATGAGACTGAATTGTTTGAAGGTGTCACTAATCTTTATTTCCTCAGGACACAGAACAATGTCTGAAAGATCTGTGTAACTCCCTATAGTATATAAAACACTTTAACAATTATCTCATATGTTTCATATAAAATATATTATATATACACATATATGTACAGTAATATGAAATAAGCCATGTTTAAAAACATGTTTTGAATGTAACTCATAAGTTGAGGTAATAATATTTTGGTGTAGAAATATAGTAAGACTTGTTTTGACTATGTCAAAAAACACCTCTGTAGCTTTTATCTAGACTTCATATAACATGGATTTTAAGAACCATAATCAATAGGCCACTGCCCCACTTCTATATATCACTTATTCATTGAACCATCAGTTACTGAGCTTAAAAAGACAAATCAAAGGCAAATATGCTTAACAATGAGAAAACAAACCCAGGCCGAGTCAGTGGCTCATCCCTGTAATCCTAGCACTTTGGGTGGCTTGAGGCAGGAGGATCACTTGAGCCTAGGAGTTTGAGGTTACAGTAAGCTATGTATGAATGTACCACTGCACTCCAGCCTGGGTGACAGAGCAAGACCCTGTCTCCATTAAAAAAAACAACACCGGAACAACAATGATGCAATTAAAAAATGGGCCAAAGATCTGAATAGACACCTCAAGAAAAAAGATATATAGATAGCAAATGAGCATATAACAAGATGCACAACATCATGTGTCCCTAGAGAATGGCAAATTAAAACAATGAGATAACACAATATACCTATTAAAATGGGGAAAATCAGGCCAGATGCAGTGGTTCATGCCTGTAATCCTAGCACTCTGGGAGGCCAAGGTGGGTGGATTGCTCAAGGCCAGGAGTTCGAAACCAGTCTGAGCAAGAGCGAGACCCCATCTCTACTAAAAATAGAAAGAAATTAATTGGAAAAAAAATAGGGAAAATCAAAAAAACCTGATCATGCCAAATGTTGGTGAGGAAGTGGAGCAACAGGAACTTCCATTCGTTGCTCATGGGAATGCAGAATGATATAGGAACTTTAGAAGAGACTCTCGCAATTTCTTACAAAGCTAAACACAGTCTTTCTTAGCATATGAACCAGTTACCACACTCCTAGATTTTTATGCCAATTAATTGAACATTTATATACACACACACACACACACACAAAACCTGAACACAAATATTTACAGCTGCTTTGTTCATAACTGCCAAAAACTGGAAAGATCCAAGATGTCCTTCAAAAGGTGAATGAATAAACATCCATACTATCATGTCACCAAAAAGACATGGAGGAACCTTAAATACATATTGTTGAAAATAGCCAGCCTAAAAAGGCTACATCCTAGTATTATTCCAATTATGAGACATTCTCAAAAAGATAAAACTATAGAAACAGTAAAAAGATCAGTGGTTGCCAGGGGTTCAAGGGAAGATGGGTAAAGAATGAATGAGTAGAGCACAGGGGATTTTTAGGGCAGTGAAACTATTCTGTATGATACTCTAATGGTAGATACATGACATACATTTGCCAAGAGGCATAGAACTGTACAACACTAATAATGAACCCTAATGTAAACTACGGACTTTAGTTAATAATAATGTATCAATATTGGTTCATCCATATTAAATATACCACATTATACCAATATACCATCCTCAATAAATATACCACATTAATGCAATATGTTAATAACAGAAGAAACAGTAAGCTGGGAAGAGGGGGTATATAAGAATACAACGTACTAACTGCTCCACTTTCATTAAAAGGGTTTTTAAAAATTTTAATGTACAGTTGCTTGGGAGAAAAGGTAATTATCTGTTGTTATTATTAAAGTGTCAGATTCTGAAAAGAGATGGGAGGTAGTATAGTAGACAGGGAAAAGATTTAGAAAGACTTTTGCATGTTATGCTATCTATACTGTATCTTCTGAGCTATGGGAAATCATCAAATGTTTTGAGTGGCATTTAAGATCTGTGTTTAGGAAAGATGACTCTTAGTAATAACACTAAGATAGAGTGTGAGGTTTCTTGTTTGTTTTTTTTAGAGACTGGGTCTTGCTATGTTATCCAAGCTGCCTCAGCCTCCTGAGTAGCAACCGTAAGATTTAAAACAAGAGATCCAGGAAACCAGTTAGGAGGCTATTGCCATGATAGCAGCAATGGCCAGTTTTTACTGTGTACTTTTTATGTACCAGCCACTCTACCTATATTATCTCATTTAAAACTTATTATTTACTATGATTACCCCTATATTATAAATGAGAAACTAAGGCACAGAATAATTAAGCACCTCAATGTTACATGAGCAAAGACAGGAAGATAAGAAGCATGATCCCGTAAGAAACTATAAATAGTTCAGAATTATAGTGCTTTGGGTATAAAATGTTGAGTGACAAGTGATGAAACTAAGGCTACATGCAGCCAGATAGGGAAAGACCTCTATATTATGGTAACAGGGATTCCTTTTTGATAGATAAGCTACAAATACCATAAGCCTCTCCCATTTATATCTTTTTCCTACTATGAAATACCGTTTACTCACTTAACACCATTTTACGTGCCAAGCATTATGTTAGGCTCTGTTTATACAATAACAACCTAAACAGTCCTGAGCCATATCATCATGGTCCTAAGAGTCAAAGTCCATTCATTCCCTGTAAGTCTAACAAACTAATCCACCTGGGTCTAGTCAATAAGTACATTCAAGCACACCACTTAGAATTTGAGAATACTCATTCATTTACTTGTTTCCACTATATTTAATAAGAATCTCCTATGTACCAAGCACTATTTTGGGTGATAGGAATACAGCAATGACCAAAACACTGAATTAACATTCTAGATGGAGAGCAGAGAAGATAATAAACAAACATATGATATAAATTCTGATAGTGATAAATGCTATTAAAAATTAAATAGGTAAGAGAATAATGTTAGCAATGGTACTTCAATAAGGTAGTTAGGAAAGGCCTCTCTGAGGTGTGGCCTCTTGAGCAGAATCCTAAAAAAAGCAAAAGAGTGAATGCTATGCAGGTTTAGGGGAAAATGTTCCCGGCTTCGGGAAAATTAAGTGCATGTGTATGCACATCTGTAGTTTGAAAATGCTTATGTTCCCATTCATTAAAAACTCTTCCAGGTAGAGCTGGGATTCTATGTTATACATCCTTTCATTCAACAAGTATCTGTTTTCTTCGTCTACTTTATACACGGCACAATAAGAAAGCAATCATTAGAAGGAAAAGGGAAGGTTTTAATAACAGTCTAAAAACTGAATATAAGTAGAGAAAATATTATAGGAAGAATGCTATCTTTCTCCATCTCCTTCTCTGCCTCCCTCCCTGTCTTTCTGTCTCTTAACTCTTGTACACTCACACAACACACAGATAATAAGAGCACCTGGCCATTCACTCGTGCTAAGGAGATTTGTGCTTGTTAGTATTTACCAAGTTTTCTTAGGATGGCCTTAGAATAAATGCTCATTATTTCTTGTAATTAGGACGCTGCCCAGTTGCATAAAGAGGCTCTCAGCAAGGAACAGTGAGACTCATTTTAAGCTCACAAAAGGGTAGATGTAAAAAACACATAAAATTTTAACGTTGGTTAGTGCTCTTGGAGATCACATAAAGAGAAGGAAAATGAAGGCCAAAAAAGTATTTGTTCACCATCTGATAGCTAATTTCGTCACATATTATACTGCTTATCTCACAGAATGTAGGAATCATAGAAAGCAATGCGTTTAAATTTTGACCGTATTCCCGGTAGGGTCTCTTCACCAGAGACTGCTGGAGCCAGAGGAAGAACCTAACTGGGCTGACCAAGCCAGGCGAAATGTAATAAATGCCTAGGTTAGAGCACAGGGATCCTGCCTACGGGCCTGAGAAAGAGGGCCAAAGCCAGGCCAGAAGAAAGGGAGGCTGTCGGGTCCGAGGCTTTAGGGCAGGACACACAATCAGGTCGTTACTTCAGGGTCTTACCTTCACTGAGGTTCCTACCCGACAGGTTTAACTGGCCGCTCTTCCTCGCTGCCTTTAACAGCCCCTGGGGTACGGAGGTACAGCAGTCTCTCCCATCAGGTTTGAAACCCGCACGGGGATCCCTGCCGGCTACTCCCCTCAGGCGCGACATGTTCAAACCCCTCCGCCCAAAAGCAGCAGTCGAGCCCGTGACGCCCAAAGGTGGCGCCGCTGAGCCGCCCCGCCCCTTTCGCGAGCGCGCTGGGCTAGAGGCCCCACGCTGGGCCTTCACCCTCTGCGGCGCGGTGCTGATGTCGTCACCGTCAGCGCCTGGGGCTGGAGGACACAGGAGCCCGTTCCGTTGCCGGTGCTGGCCTAGCGTCCTGGAATTACTTCGCTCGAGTAAGTGCGTTTAACGAACTTGAGGGGCGTTCGAGTTTATCGTTTGCATTATTACTGCCATGCCAACCCTCTCCTTTGTATTTCTGCTGTGGCGAGGGTGTCAGGAGAGGATAACCCTCTCTTCTCCCCACTCCTAGTCTGAACGTGGGCCTTAACTAAAACTTGAGACCTGGGCGCGGTCTGCAATCTCCCTGGACCCCAGCCTGTGTTTGTCGCTTGTGGTGGTGGCGCCAGACCTCCTGCGTACGGAGTGAAATAGATTTTCTGTTCTTCGGGCCTGTTCTCTGACACCGTTCCCCTTGTTGTATTGAGATTATAGTCCAGCACAGTAGGTAATGTGAAATGGAAGGAATGGCATCATAGAAGAAAAAGAAAAGCTTAAAATTTAAGAATTGTTCTGTCCACGGAAACAGTTTAGGGAGACAAGTAGTGACGCAAACTTTGGTGTGGCACAAACAGCTTAGACTTTGAAGCCCTAAAAGTGCAAGTTGGAATCCCAGCTGCTGCTTTGCAAACTATGTAACTTTAGTCACTTTACTCGACCACTTCTAAAGCTCATCCTTTTCCATTACTTTCGGGATAATAATTACTACCACTGAAGCTTCTTGAAATAATTAAGTGAAGATAAAAGCTTAAATCTTGAGCTCTTGGTGAGAGAAAGGACTCGAATTCAGAATTGCAAATGAAAATTTTGTTAAATAAATCGGTGTTTCCTGGGAAATTAAATTTTCCATTCAAAATGTATACAGCTTCTTGATTTATGCAACAATTATTAAGAACTAATGTGGCAGACTGGGTGTGGTGCCTCACGCCTATAATCCTAGCACTCTGGGAGGCCAAGGCAGGAGGATCACTAGAACTCAGGAGTTTGAGCCCAACCTGAGCAAGAGCGAGACCCATCTCTACAAAAAAAAAAAAAAAAAGTTAGAAAGAAATTAGCTGGGCAACTAAAAATAGAAAAAATTAGCCGAGCATGGTGGCACATGCCTGTAGTGCCAGCTACTCGGGAGGCTGAGGCAGGAGAATGGCTTGAGCCCAGAAGTTTGAGGTTGCTGTGAGCTAGCTAGGCTGATGCCATGGCACTCTAGCCTGGGCAACAGACCAAGACTCTGTCTCAGAAAAAAAATTAATCTTTCATGCCATGTACCGTCCTGGATACTTGACTTTTTTCTTTTACCTGAAGTAATTTCATTTTAAAAGCATATGCCGGGGAATATCCTTCTAACAGCCATCAAGTCTACAGGGGATCGGTAGCATAGTTGAAAGGTAGGATGACAGCCCTCTGACAGATTCTGCATCCTACAGTTTTACCTTAGTCCAGGTTCTTGCTACCTGTAAAATTCAGTTTTTAACACCCTATCCTTTTTTTTCTTTGTAGTTCTGTAGAGAGTCCTTTACTGTAAACGAAAAACAGAAAGATATACCAGTAGTTATCCTACTAAGCCAAGAAAGAGCGGGTTTTAAAGCAAAAGGACCCTTGCAAAGCTTTTGCAAGATCATTAATCAGCTTGTCTTGACAAGAATCACAGTAGCTACCTTATTGAGCCCTTATTAAGTGCCAGGCTCAGTGCTAATACCTCTGTTTGCTATTAATTATTTAACACAATGACCAATTTTGCTGATGAAGAAATTGATGCTAAAAGGGGCTAAGAAACTTACCCCAGGTCACACGTTTCTGTAAGCGACATCACCAGGAATTTGAACCTAAATCTGTCTCCAAAACCTTGTTATCCACCATGACTTGACTAGTAGCTTTTCATAATTTCCAACTTGCTTTTTTCAAATCCTGGAATCAAGAGACACTTTAAATGTTTTAAAGAGATTTATTTATTAGAGAACAACCTTTTCTCTTTTGTAGGGAGTAACAGCCTACCTTTAGAGAATGAATTGCTCAAGTTAAAATTTTTTGGTAGCTGCCCCTGACCCTACAATAGATCTTTAGCTCAACTTCTTAAAAACACACAGCAAAGTATAAATTTTTCATTCATTTATTCCTGAAGTTAAATATTTCATTATTGACATTTAATGATATTATGTTAAAACATTGTTCCATTTTGTAAAAGAGAAGTATATGTTTAATGGCAAAGTAATTCTGAGAAATCCAAGTGTCCTTACATACTTGTGGTAAACTTCAATAGATATAAACTGATGTATGTAAAACATTTACTAGTATATAGCTACAGTACAAAATGTATTGTACTTATGTCACAAGTGCAGATTAGGTGAGCGACAGTGAAGAGTGACAGTACAATTGGGAAAATTACATATTTTATCTCAAATTTAATAGAAACTGAAACACTTAGCTAAATGACTTAAATTGAGCTTCATGAAAAAGCAAGTGTATTTATATATAATTATATTGAATTAGCTTTTTATTTCAATTGTATTACTTTAAGAAGAATGCATTAAAGACAAGCAAAAACCCTAACCCTTTTTCAACATGGGCATTTAGGTCAAAGTATTTCCTTTTTTAAAAAATGGACTTTATATATACAGCATTAAAATAATATGAAATGGATGTCACCTGTCAGAACTGGAGACTACTGCACCAGCTTCCTTTTGCAACAGAATTATGTCCATTTTATTTAAGTAGAGGAAGGTTTTCCTATTCAAGTTTCTTTGTTAAATGAAAAAGAAAGTTAAGAAACCAAACATATGTTAAGCGTAAGAATTATATTGGCCAAAGAGTGCTCTTCTGTTTCATCATGGAAAGTAAGACTATTAACAAGTATAGAGCAGCTTGTCTTTACCATTAAAATTTAACAAGATACTTTCACATGTGGCTGTATTACTCTTATGAACATTGCTACATGTTAGATTTTTTTCAAAAGAGAAAGGTACAATTGATATGATGGATTACTGAAGTAACAAATTATAATAAAGTGGAGTTAGTTTGTGCAGGTTTTTCAAGCACATTTGTTGAAAAAACAATCAAGTATGAGCAAAGTGTCTTTGCAGACATTTCTAGGAAGTTTCTTTTTGTGTAATGTAACAGATTTAGGCTATTTTGAATCAGTATTATGATATCTTTTAAAATATTGCCTTGTCTGTGAGAGCTGCTGCCTTATGGTAAAAGTTATTTATTGAGAGAACATTTTAGTTTTCTTTAAAAATTTTAATTTGCAGTTTCACATTTGTTTTCCTTTCAGGCCTGTAACTGCCAACTTTTAAAAGTAGCTGGTAGAAAAAATTCTTTACTATTTCTTTGAAGGAGATACATATTTTATTCATAGTTTCAAATGTGGCTTTGAATTGTATCATGTTATTATTGGAGTTATATGTGGTAATTTTTTCTGATGGAAAGAAAAATTACCATTTTATTTCTGATGCGTTTTCTTTTGGATTATACATTTCTATTTTCTTTGTGTGTTCCCTCTGCTTCTCTTCATATTTTTGAATCATGAAGCAGTTAGCTTGGGTTTAATATTTGATTCTAATGTTCAGTCTTGTATTTCTCTCTACTTTCAATACAAAAAACAATTTCACCCCTCAGATTTAGGAAAATAACATTTATATTTTCCTCTTATAAAAAGGCTTTTTACATGTTAGTGTTTTTCATTTGAAGAAAAGTGGAAAAACTAGCAAAAAAATTTATCAAAAATGCTTTTATTCTATTTTTTGTTTTATTTTCTTTCTATTGAAAAAAAATAAACTGAAACAAGGGTGGTGTTAAACTAACCTTGCTTGTGTCATTTTTTAAAAAGCACTGTGGCATTGAGATTTGTTGGTTCTTCTAAAATCAGCTGGAAATGTTTCCTACTTTTACCAGTGATTATTACTCCTAACCTTTAATACCTAATGCAATATTCTTGCACTTTTTTCCAAGATTAATATGTTCTCTGACTTAAGGTCTCAGTTTTAATCTTTATTGTGTTTTATGATTTTTTTTTTTTTGCTTTAAATTAGCAAAGTAATATAGAGAGAAAAGTTAGGGTACCAAACCCCAGAACATTTCTTACAGTGTCTTTCTATCTTTATATTAACACAAACAAATCACTACCAAGTAAGTCTGTTTAAGAATCATTTTTAATCAAAATCCACTCTTTTAAAATTTGGCTTTTATATCACTCCCCGCAAACATTTTTGTTCAATAAGATTCAGCTTGCAACTTCATTTACTTTAAAAAGGAAGGAGAAAATGTTTATAAATGGTAAGTATTGTTCTGTATGAGCAGAGCTCCCCTACAGTTTTAATAAGACACAATATGGTCCCTGAGACTTTATCCTTATTGTCAATTTCACATGATAAGAGGAAAAATATGAATAATGTGGTAGTTTGTTGAAATCACAATCAATAGATTGGTAGTTTATAATATGATACTCAGACTTCTAGATTGCATATTTATACTCACAATTGCCATTTGATAAATGCCAATTTAACTATCAGAATACCTTCAAGACTGCCCACAATTCTTTTTCTACTTGAGCTTTTTCCCCTATCCTTTAAAATATCACAGTTATGTATACCTAAATAATTGCAAAGTATCCATCATTGGGGTATTGAAATACTAGTGGACATTTAAATAGTTGGTACCTACAATTCAAATCTGTGAACCCAGTCTTCATCATTCTAGAGGTACGTGTTTTTCACTCAACACTAAATTTATCAACCATTAATACAACTTTGTTTATTTACCATCTTAGAGTTGTTGACCTTTTTGCTTTTCTTTTAACTCATTTCCTAGAAATATTACCTCTGTACCATCTCCTCCCTTCCTCAAAATAATTACTTGATCTGTGTCTCCAAGTGTTTTAGACCAGTGCTCCCCAACCTTTTTCAAACCAGGACGGGTGTCATGGAAGACAGTTTTTCCACTGGGGAGGCAGGAGGCTTAGGCCTTGATGTGATGGGGTGTGGCTGTAAATACAGATGAAGCTTCACTCACTTGCCTT